AGAGAGCTGGCACACACTCCTCCTAGTTGGCCTGACTTCAACCCTGTCCCTAGAAGGGGGCAAACACACAGGGAGGTGGTCGAGGAACCAAATCCCGACTACAACACCTCTGACTACACTCAGGGGACAACTGAGTTTTGGGACAGTACTGAAACCCACACAAGCCCGGACACAGAACGGGATTCAGGGGATAAACAGCCTCCTGACAGGTCTTGGATGGACCTAGGAGGTTCTACAGAAACGCCCAACAGTGACAGTCACTTAGAAGGGCCAGAGAGCCTACAGCTAGGCGGGACAACAAGGTCATACACTGGAAGAAGCCCTGGCCTGACGAGCCCGGTGGGCAAGCAAGCAGGCCAGGCATTGGAGCACAGTCCTTGGGGATCACCAAGGCATAATGGAGGGAACAGGCACATGTCACCCCTCAGTCAGGGAGTACCTGGCAAGCACCCAGAGCGTAGGAGGTCACAGAGAGCAAGGAAATCTCCTAAGTACTTAGAGGATTACATAACACTATTGGCTAAACAGAGCCAGTAGAAGGGTAGAAACACTGAGGCAATAGAAACGGGGGAACTCCGAACATGGGGGGGGAGCAGAGCATTGTACTAAGAGTGGGTTGTGTATTATTATGGCATTGGTCGTAGTTTTAGCCTGGGAGAAAGGGGTGTTATGTCCTGAGCCTTGCAAGCAGGCTCGGGGCATTGCAGGCGGTCCCAGGCAGATGCAAGCTGCCCGGGACCAGACAGGCTGTCGCCAGTGCTTGTGCGCATGCGCAAGTACTGGCGCGCGAAAAGTAACACATTGACCCGGGAAAGTCCTATAAAAGGAGGCCGCGAGTTTTGGGCTCTTGCCGCCATATTCCAATGTAAGCTGAACTGAAGAATAAAGGTTTCCTGAGAACTACAACTGTTTCTCGTGTCTTACCATTTCACGACGGACTCAACAGATATCACATTCAAATAAAAGATAAAGCATATTTTCCAGTGAATTTTCTTTACTACACCACTAACAACTATAACAGAAATACATATTCTAGGCCACCTATTGAACTGGCTTCACCCCTTTATGTCAGCACATCCCACTTGTTTAGGCAGGGAAGATATGCTGCAGACCCCATCAACCATAGAATTTCAACTGTTGGGGGTCTAGGAAGAGGGTCTTCTCTGTGCAGCCTCCACATTGCGGAATATCTGCCCCCAGAAATGAGGAAAGCCTTTTGGCCTTCCACAAAAGGGTCAAAACTGGCTGTGCAGACTTGTAAGGGGGACACAGAAGCCCACATAATTGTGAGGTTGGATGGCCTCATGAGAATCCCTCTCCACCTATACTAACAATTGCTAAGCCCCCAATTTGGAATTTTTCACTTTTGAAATTTTATACATTGATAATTTTAAAAATTTTAACTCTTAACTTAATTCTGACTTTAATGTTAATTTTATTGATAGTATTGTATACTGCAAAGAGTCCCTCTTTGAGGGAAATGGGTGTTAAAAAGTAGAAGATAGATACCGGTAGATAGATAGATAGATAGATAGATAGATAGATAGATAGATAGATAGATAGATAGATAGATAGATAGATAGATAGATAGATATGGAAAGACAGAGAGATGAATAAACAGATAGACAGATTGATATTTTGCAACATTATTTGAGAGTCAACTTTATTCAGAAGATAGTGAGTATAGAAAAATACAAAATGCTTATTTTAGATCAGGTGGAATATATAAAATGCATGACATCTCATCTATACCACTGGTTAAATGGCCCATATAACACAGCAAGTTCTAACATGAACCATGGAAACATTTGAGTAAATTTCCTTTTTGCTGCAAATATTTGTCTCCCTCATTTCAGCAATGCTTTTCCAGAAACTCTAATGATCTATTGGAACATTATGCTATTTTTAGGTAAAATAGCATAACCTTTAGGTAAGGTTATCCACTGTATATGTATTTTTCAAAACATATTAGTAGGGGAGCATGTCATATTCAACCAAAGTCCAGTTAACAAGATGAAATGGGATAATTTTGAAATTATACTCATTCCCCTGGCATGTATAGGGCATACCCTAATCTGAGCTTTTTCAAAACACCACTTCTGATTAAAGCTCTGAAAAGCATGGTAAAAACAAAACAAAACAAAACTGTCATTGTTTATTTAAGACACAACTATTTTATTTAAAGCAATTTAAACTTATTGGAGTTAGTGCAGTGAGGGCTCAAAAGTCCAACTGCAGCTATAACTATTTCATGGGTCACAGTCATAGTGCATTAATTTCATTATGTATTACTCTTATTTTTTTATTTACAGTGCCCATATTTTATACTGCTTCTTACAAAGACAAATATTAAAAAACTGAAAAGTAAACCAGGCTGTTTGTTTGTTGTAACAGGCTCATAAATCACAATTCAATTAATAATCGGTTTTGACTTATAGTTCCTTGTAGGTTTTCAAAACTAACACAGCAAGAAATAAATAAAGCTATTAAATGGAACAAATGTTGTCTCTACAGTACTCTGGTCTTATGTTTATAAATTAAATAAAAATGAGTGTTAGATGAAGGTATGACATTCTCAGCCTCCCTAGATAAACCAGACCAGGAAATCAACTCAAACAGGAAGACAAATACAAAATCTGTGCTACATCTCCCCAGCTTTTTATAATGCAATGAATTTGACAATTTGCAGCCAAGAGAAAAATAACTAACAGCAAGAAAGCCATCAATTAAAATGTGCAAAATACAACACAAATATTTCAATAAAACCTATTCACAGTTTCCAACAGATACTCAGATCCCCCAGGTTCAGGTACATGGCCATATATTCTGGACCATAAAAAAGCTAAGAGACATCTTGACCCCTGGGAGATGTTGCTATCTTCAACAGTTAGATTTCCATTGGGTCAAGGTTGACTCAGCCTTCCATCCTTCCAAAGTCGGTAAAATGATCGTGGGGGGCAATATGCTGACTCTGTGAACCACGTATAGAGGGGCTGTAAAGCACTGTGAAGCAGTATATAAATCAAAATTCTATTGCTATTGCTATCTATTTTAGTATTTCTTGAGCTTGGACTTGATGAAAAATAATTTGAAAACACTATTCAATATATTCAGTGAATAACTCTTCATATTTGTAAACCTTTATACTAATAATACTTACATTTTATTAAATATTGTTTTCATAATAACATCTAAATTCTCTTTGCAATGATCATAAGTACCTCAAATATTCTCAAATACAAATATAATTGCCAGTGTCCAAAAGGCAGGTGCTACAGCAGAACAGTCACTACGGTCACTGAGATCCTGCAGAACAAACTCTTTAGAAATGGTCCCATAACCCATTTCTTCTGCTGGGATAAGCAGATGTAATTGGGTGGCGGCTATCCTCAGATAACCTGGTCCCATGCCACTTATTCAACATAAATAGTTCCAAAATTAGAGAGATAACCTTTATTGTCATTTTTTCCTGTGGGCACAATGGCACACATTAAAAATGAAATTTAGTTGCTTCCTCTCAAAGTGTACGCATATATAACACACATTTAAAACACACTATATACAACATATGTATAGACCTACACCCTTACATATACAATTGTAAATATATGATGAGCTACGTTCCCCATATCTATTATCTGCATTTCTAGAGTAAAGATTTACAAGAGTTTCAAAACTAATCTACTCAGTAGAGAAAAGCTGTATATATATTATTCAGCTCAGAAAATTATTTTCATTGAACGTGGGATGTCATGGAAAAGAGAATGATTAAACATACCATAGTAAAATGTGATGGAGAATTCAAATAGCAAGCAGAAAATCAACAAGATTGAAGGCAAAACACAAAAATAGATTAAATAATATTTTACATTTAACTAGGTAGGCCAGCAATGAAGTACCCTTCATACTGCTTTTGATGACAGGGGAGTCACATTTTGATGAAGTATTAGTGAAATGTCAGCACTTTTCATAAAAACATGGTTCAAGCATGAGTCATTTAAAGGAAATCAGAAATTATTTTCTTATAGAATGGTATTTTTTTTCTTCACTCTGAATCCTATTTCAAAGCATGCTATTTTTAATGTCATGTATTTTAACAAAAATCTTGTTTATTTTCTTTTAATTGGAATTTGAATGTTTGTTAATACATCTTCATTAGCATGCCTGCATTACTCTGTTCCACTGGAACAGAGCAGTTTATTTGAGACATAAAAAATGAATTTAAAATGAAATATCTTCCTCCTCCCTCCACATCAGCATTTTTGAAGCTTCAGGCAACACACTGCATCTGCAGTGAATCATACAGAATGACATCTTTAATGAAGGAAGGATAGCAGAAATAAAAGGTATGACATAACAATTCCATTCTAATATCATTAGTACTGTTCTAGCTTCTCTCCACCAACACATAAACTTTCAGGCAGGAATGCTCACATTGATATGATGGACATTATCATGAAGACTGAAGAGCATTGTACTTCAGCAGTGCTGATAACTACATGCAAATACTGGCCTTAAACGAAATGAGAGAAAACCACCTAACAAACTTTAGGCATAGTACTCCAAAAATACTGCAATGCAGGATGACCATTTTCCACACTGAAACAAAACTGATTTTTTGTAAATTCTTGCCCAACAAACAAACAAACAAACAAACAAACAAAAGGCAGTGGCATTCTACTCTGCTGTTTGGGGATCACAGCATACAATGATTAAAAAGCTGATCTATAACCAATTTGTCAATGTGGTTGCACTGAGAAAATGACCTAACATTTCTCAATTTCATCACTTGACACAACAAGCTAAAGCCTTTATACCAGAAAACAAACAAAAGAGTTCTCAAATGTTGGCAGCAGCAAGAATTTCAAACATCCTCTCTGCATTAAAGCACTCAATGGGTAGTTTTAAACAACCCATTTTTACAATATGATCAACTAAACCACTTGATAACTAGTTCCATTTTAAATGAATTCCAAGTTAAGTTATACTTCAATTCTTACCATCTACACATGCTGGTCTTGCCCTTGTAGTACCGGCAATTTGTCCTTTTTTGCATGCACAACGAGCTGTTTGTCGGGCTATAGTTCTTCGAGGCTGACTGCTATCTCTGTCCAAAGTAACAATTTCACATGTACCTGCAGCCAACTGACCTGGAAAAAAAACAGCAACAGGTATCATAATCAATAACTATTCTAATCCAAAAGAGTCATGGCCCATTGTTGCAACAGACTCTTCTCAATAAATGGAAATTCAGTGGAGAAGTATAGATATTGATATTTGTAACAAAACAAAGGTAACATTTTTCTTATGTTTCATCTTGAAGGAACTGGTGTTTAAAAAACAAGCTGGTTCTAGAAATTATTTCAAGTTAACAGTCATTATGATATGCACCCCAGAATTAGGAAGAAGCAGACTGTAGTACTGAACATCTTGAGTCATCAGAGTTTAGTGAGTTTCTCAACCAAAACTACTCCAAAGTAGGAAAAAAAGGAAGAACTTAAAACTTCTTCAGCTTTTGAAGACATTTGGAATACAAATTAAACCAATCAATAAATATTTTACTAGTAATTGTTTGAAAGAGGAACTTTATCAGTGATTGACACATTTCTAGAAAAACTAATGGGTCATCAGTTTTTATTTTAACTCCCCAAGTATTTAACTTGAAAAGCTGGATGTTCAGACAATGTTGAAAATGAGAAAAAAGTGCCTTGGTACAAATAAAGCAACCAGGAGCCAATAGATAAGATGTGATGTTACAGAAAATTAGACAATATTATAAATTCTGCTAAAATATATAATAATCCTGCTATTGAAAGCAATTGAGAATTTACAATTCTTATTTTTATATAAATCTACAATTTTTCCATATCCTTTCATAATAACTATGAGCTGAGAAAGACTCTAAAAACTCTGCATTAAACCAAGTGTACTTGGCATAATGCAGGGGTGTGTGCATGTGTGTGTGTATATGTGTTTGTGTTGAGTGTTGTTGTTTTTATGTACCCTGTCGGCCCAAATATGGGAGGAAGAAATATATGTGTATGTGTATGTATATTGTGTGTGTGTGTATTGAAAGTATATGGAAAAATTAAGATTAATTAATTAAGAATTGTAAATTGTATGTGTGTGTATGTGTGTATGTGTGCATATATGTGTATACACACACACCTCACATAGTTAGTATAGTTGAACTTCAGTAAGATATTTTGACAAAATATACTAGAGCAGTGGTTCTCCACCTGTGGGTCGGGACCCCATTTGGGGTCAAACAACCATTTCATGGGGGTCGCCAAACAACGCAGTCCGCTATTTTTTCCCCTTTTCCTTAGCTGTGCTACTCCCTTTTATTCTATTGGCTTTTGAAAGCCAATAGAATAGACTCTCTTGAATAGAGTCTAATTCTATTGGCTTTCAAAAGCCAATAGGAATTGTCCAGGCTGTCTCTGCCCTGCTGAGCCCGCCAAAAGTCCCATTCTGCAAACGGTGCTGCACCAGTTGAGTAGTCCTCAACTTACGACCTGTTGAGTAGTCCTCGACTTACGACAGGTTGGGGGTCGCGGCATTAAAAAGGTTGAGAACCTCTGTACTAGAGCCTATTTCTTGGTAAGCTAGAAAAATGTGGAATAGATATCTTCACCAACAGATGGATTAGCAAACTAATCAAGGAAAATTTAGAAAGATGCAAAAGTTTAAATGTGTTTAACAAATTAAAAAAAAACATTTATTCTTGGAGCCTTCGAAAAGTATCCCCAAAATCCTGATTCCAAGGTATGGATAAGTTCAATGGAACTAAGTGGGAAGCCATATTATCACACACATAAGAAGTCTAAAAATAGGCATAAGATATCAGTGTAAAAAAGGCAATAAAACTAACATAATGGAGTGGTTCAAGAACTGAAGCATAAATCAGTACACTCCTAGTCTAAATCTATTCCAATCATAAAACTTATATGATCTAAGGAAATCCATCATTCTACACTTAGATTGCAATAAAAACATAATAAACAATCTACTTCTTATGACTAATACAAGTATTCTAAAAATATACACAATAAACATTTAATTTATGTGAACCTTTTAAAGAAATCATTGTAATCATCATCCTCTTCCAAATACATCTCCCCCCCATTGGCAACAATTCATTTTTTATGCCCAATTTAAAACACCCAGCTAGAATTTATCTCTGGTGATTAAGAAGCTCCATCTCATTTTATACAAATCTGCCTGACTCTAACGACATTTAAGATTCTGGTTTTTAGGTCTGGAAAGAAACATTTAAATTGGGGTAACATATTCTCAGCTGAGTACCTTTATTTTTTTGTTACTTTAACCAAAAGCCTTCAAGATAAACTTGTTCTAGTTCAGATAATGTGATTATGTACCACATAAATTATTGTTTCAATTGTGGCTCTTAATCCAAACCCTGATTTTTATAATAAATTAATAAAAACATTTATATGATACTTTAATAATCAGAAATGTTATTATGTACTTTTAATGACCACTGTTTAAGCTATAAGATATACACATACATATACACCAATCAGACCTATAAATATTTATGTAGTATCCTGAACATTTTTTTTGTAAAGATATTGCACATTAAATTTTTCAAAGAATATAACAGATAAAAGCCTGGATTAAGCATCAAAGTCTTTTTTAAATTAAAGCTGTTTCGGATATATTTAGCTTCCTTCAATTAGAGAAAGACTGCTGTGTATGACCATTACATTACTAATAAGGTGAATCACTCTAGCATATAATGACTTTCTAATGAAAACCAGGGTTAAGTCATATGTTCTTGTGAACAGCAGCATCTGCAGGGAGTCTAAATGCATAATTGGTGGCACATGGGAAGATCGCTTGAGGAAACCAAAGCAGTATTTCTGCTATCAAGAAAATCGCCGTCCATGGAAGTGACAATTTTCCAAAAAACATTATATTTTATATGACACAATTCATTCAAATTACTTTGTGATCTGACATTCAAGCCAATTCGGTATCAAAGTGCAGTTAAAATGCTACTTCTTTCATAGCTGCTTGATTCTCTGAATTCAATAATCCCTTAGAAATATCATATAATAAATGGCTTGGAAATGTTTTATAATCGGAAAAGTAAAAAAAAATGCATACAGTTTAAAATATGAAACGGAATTACAAAAATAAATTTTGTATTAAAAACAATAATATTTTGTTGTGGAAGTAACAACTACCTATTCTATAAACCTGTATCTGGCTGTTTCTTTCTGACAGTAGAAGTAAACAAAGATGAAAACCAAATAACACTGAAGAGTTCAAGAATGCCACCGGCATTGTTTGGTAAATGCAAATACGAGTAATCATATAACGGCATTAGTGCTCTTGCTTGTTTATCATAATAAATATTCAGAATTCTAAGTCTACTTCAAGCAAAACACAATATATTTGATAAAATATTCCAATTCATCCCACACCCTTCACATAACTGATTTCAACGATGAGGCTATTACAAAAGATAAAAATTGTTACTTCCCATGGAATGACTGAATATCATTCTACTAGCACTCCCCAATATTTAGCAAATGTTTATTTTCAAAACTGGGTTATTTTCAGTGACATACAGTTGATTACTTGCTACTAATGAGGAAGGGTCCATCAGTTCCTACAAGCCTTGATTCATTCTTTTTCTATCTCTATCTATCTTGCATCCCCATCATCATCATCATCATCTCTCTCTCTCTCTCTCCAAAGTTATCTTGGCTATTTTTTGATTAAAGAAAAATATAGAATATATTATTATTATTGAAAGCAACTTCTGGACACCAAAGACAAGAACTAACATCTGAAACACACTAAAATTACATTTTCAGAAAAAAAAAATATTCAATGAAATTGAGAAATTACAATTCCCTGTGATTTTCATTTGCCTTCTTTGCACTGTTGCACTCATTTGTTTCTTTCGTGCCATAGCTGCAGGAAATATAAACTTTAAGCTAAAGCAATAATCAGGCAAAATAATTTAATAAATGAAATACTAAAACCCTTAGATTTAAATAAATATACAAACATACCTCATTGACCCAAGATAGTAAAATTGTTTCATAATATGACTTTAAGATTCTGATACCTGCACAAAATAGCAGCACCTTTTTGAATTTAAGTATGATCAATTATACCTGAATTATAAGTATGATCAATATTTGAGCTGGTTTCATTGATATAGAAAACATTTACTTATTCAAGCAAATTCTCAGTTTGTTGAACTACAGGATTTCAGACTACTCCTGGCTGTTTTCGGATCTTCAGGGAAGCCAAGGTACATATTGCATTTTTTTAGTTTTTCTATAAGCTATGTCATATTCTTGAGTATGAAGTCCTATGAGAGATAAGATGAAGCTTTTGGTTGGTAAGAAAGCCTTTGCTGTTTATCTCAAGCTTTAGCTGAGTACAAGCAATAATCACTATTGCGTAAAATATACTGGGCTGAAAAGTATATGGGACCATTCATGAGAGTTCATCAGCATTCAGGAGGCAAACAGCACAACTGCAGTAACTGAATACAGGTTCAGTCTACTGACTTTAATCTCCATCTCATTCATTCAGCCTTTACTTTTGGCACAGCTGTATGATAAACATTCTTACACACTGCAGTCATGGGATTCCGTAAGAGGGTGAACAAGCAAGAATGCAGTCTTAATGTGTTTATATATATATATATATATATATATATTACATGTATTAATAGGTGGGGGAGCAGATCAGTAAAAGATCATAGATACTTTGTATTCATCCAAAGAAAGAAAAACAATGAAATCAGCCATATATTAAACAAATGACTGGACAAATTTAAATTAAGTAAAATGATGGTATATTGATAAGAAATATTAACACAGAAATCAGTGAGGAATATTTAGCCCGCAGAAGAGGTTACTGAGATGGGAAATATCAATCTTTAAATATCTGAAATGTTACCTTATAGATAGTGCAGTTGATTTGTTCTGTGTGGACTGGAGGGCAAGATTGGACCCAATGGGTTCAAACTCTAGGGAAGTAGATTCAGATTAGATATTCGGAGGAATATCCTGATTGTAGGAGCTTTCAACTATACGCTTTGTGGTATGTACGTCTCTGCTGGAAATCCTTAAGCAGAGGCTGAGATACACCAGCATGA